TATGGAAGCTTGCCCGAGGGGTTGGCCCGCCCGTAGAGAATGTCTACCAAGGCATGGCCGGTGTCCTGACCTGGCAGGTGGGCCAGAACGACGGCAGTGACATTCTCATGATCAATCCAATTGTACACCAAGCGAATGCCAGCGTTGTGGACGACGACAATGGTGTTGTTACACTTGCTTGCTACATTCGTGACCAAGGTGTCGCTGTAGTCGTCCGTTAATGCGGAGCGGTCATATCCTTCCGTGGCATAGCTGTTGATGAAGACGAGGCACGCCTCAGACGTGGGATCCACCTCCGGGTCTTGAGCACTGACGTCCCACAGCACAGATGTGCCGTCCTCGTAGGCCTGCTGTTGAATGGCATTGAGTGGCGCAATGACATATGCCGGTGAGTTCGATCCCGAGCCACCGCCCACCCAGAGAGTGTAATTCTGGTAGAGAGGACTGGTACCCAGAATAGTAGAAGCAAGGTCAAAAGAATCAATGACCTTGGCATCATAGCCAAAGACAGACACTAGCTGGGGTGTTTGAAGAGGGAGAGCATTGTTAGTATTCTTCACCAAGACGTGGCCCTCAATTGCGCTCTCCAAAAGCGTGCTCTTCTCGTCGGTACTCGTTCCAACAACAGCCTGGTGCTCCGACTGGGCGCTTGCTGGCATACCAACGCCAGGGGTGGGAAAGTCCGTATCCTGGTTCAACTGATACCACGTTGCGATAATCCTGATTCGATTAGCTTAGCCGTACTGGGAAAGTAAGGTACGAAGCTCACCTAGTCGCCATATCGTCCAGTCTTGATGCCTCCATCGTGCCATTGGAAATGGCGGTGGTCAGGTTGGACCCCCAGAGCGTCGTTTCAGGCATTACCATGTCCAAGCCAGCATTGGCCGAGGCGATTCCACCATGCTGGGCTCCCCAGTCGGTAATCACGTAGCCTAGCATATTTAGAGACCGTTGTGTAGAGACCATGTTGGAGAATCTCACCTTGGAAACCCAGCTCTGTCTTCAGTAGTCCGTTAAGTGTCTTGCTGTTCTGGCAAGCGTAAGAGTTGTTGATCCGCTCATATGAGCACATAATGGCGACACTTCCCGCCAGGACGGCATCCTGGAAAGGCCACAAGTAGAGCTCGTGGATTGTCTTGTCATCGATGTTAGACGAGACGGCAGCCACGTCGACACCATTAACCGTTCCCGGGTTTCGGTTTGTCTCTTGCTCGTTGCCGATGTAATGCTATTGAACCATAAGCCATACTGTGGGCGCTCAATGAATGACTAGTTCTCACCTTCGTTGAGACACCAACACCAGAGGACTGTACCCCCTGCACTGTCTCGTATACAAGAGCTCCGGTGAGGTAGGGGTCATTCGAGAACCCTTCCCAGTTGCGGCCGCCCTCTGCCACCCGACCAAGAGGGCCAACAACAGGACCGAGAAGAAGGTTCACTCCTTTCCGGTGAAACTCTTGGCCCATGTACTTGGCCCTGTCTCGGGCAAGGGTTCGATTCCAACTGTATCAGTATGTCAGCTTTAGAAACAGTAGAGACGTTCGTTGACATCAATGTTACCTGGCACCAACGTGAATACCGCTAGACCAACCGTTGACATAGTCTGTTCCCCGCTGCGAAAATTAGACATATCCAGTCATGTATGAAGGCCATACGTACCAGGCCATTGCTTGCATCGCTGACACAGAGACCGGGAAAGTTGAGGCGCGGGATCTCAGCAATAAAGCCCGAGCAGCCAGTCTTGGAGCTTACTCCTGCCGTGAGGTTGACCTTTTCGTCGTCCGTCAATTGAGCGACGAAGGCCTTGGCCTTTTCATAGGCGGAAGCCCACGACCCAGTACCCGTTCCCTCGGCTATGGCCAGGCGTTAGTGAAGGCTGTGTTTGGAAAGGGGAAATACCACGTACGAGACGGATAGACTGCGGGAGACTGTCCATAGAAGTAAGTGTCGCTAGTGATGTTCTGTGACGGTGCAGCGCTGGAGAGCGCGAGACTCCCAAGCAAGCTGACAAGTGCACTGATGCTGTGCATTTTGGGGATGCTGTCTTGAATGCTGCCAGGTCATGTTGCACACTGGCCACATGGTGGTATTTAAATGCCATCTTCCCCTCAAATTTGCATGGGTGACATTGAATGTATCATTGTGAATGTGTAGTTGTGGTGCCTGTACTTGCGGGATTTCCAGACTAACGGATAAACATCGGGAAACGGATACAAATGGTGTGTGATTAGACCATGTCATGCGAGGTGCAAATGGGAAGAGGAGGAGTATAGAGGCCTTTTCGGGGTAACATTAGGCGAGCCGTCGCTTCTCCTCCACTTCCGGCAGCGTAGAGGGATAGAAATGCCGCTGTAAGAGTCCCACAATTTCTAGCAAGTCCCCACCTGCAGTGGAGGAAATCCGGGGAAATGCAGGGTATGAGTCGTCATATAGGTAAGAACATGCCTCGGCTAGGGTACGGGGCGAAAGAGAGGGCGTGCTGTGCAGAGCTGCGCGTGGATGAGGCGAATCAAGATTTCTCTTTCTCCATACAACATCCGGCTTGGCTTAGGCACTTAGGCTATTATACTTTCCGGTCGTCTGACCGCAGGAATATGGCATGGCGTCATCCATGAGGCCTAGTTGGTCCGAGTGTGCTTGGTCTCCTGTTGTTCCTACTAAGAGCCAATCAGCTGCTGGGCATCACGATTTAGGTTCAACGCTTATTATATGCGATCGGGCCCCGGAAGAGAGTCGACGAGCCCTATTCATCGGGTCGCTGGACTAGAGATGACGGTTCATGCCGCACCAGGAATTGAAAGTGCTCCCACTCTATCATCGGCCCAGGAAATCGGCACTTGTGTCGACAAAACGTAGCGATAAGTGGAGGATGAAGCACCCCGAGACGAGGGCGTGGCATCGGATGGTGTGTGATGGAATCAAGTCCGTTCGAGGCACCACCCGCCTAGACCGGGTTGGAAGGTGACCGAGCGGGGTAGTCAAGAAGAGCACATCATCAGTGATGATGCAGAGGGTTTGAAGATATTAAGTTGTATGCCCATCAAGGGCCTATACCTCAGGCGTAGCGGAGCGGCAGTATCGCTATCGTAACCAAGGGTTGACGGATAGAGGCGCAACAGAAAGTTGGGTACTAGTAGGAGTAGTGGTATAGGGTTCTTCCTTGAATAAACACGTCTATGTAATTGAATACACATTATGACGTCGCATTCACTGTACAGATTCTTTCTCTTGCTTGCTCCTTCTTCCTTTGCCTCCCACTACTCTATCTCCTCGCCTGACAACACAACCCCAGCCCGTCGACCATCTTTGCCATCACCATCACCATCATCATGTCAGTCAACACCGCTTCAGTGGAACCGTTCTTCGGTTGCCGCCTTACTGGCCTGGGCACGGTAATATTGACAGTTCGCCTTCTATCTGAACTTCTTACAGTACCTCCATCCGAAGTGGAAACTCACCTTGTTACCAACACTGAGACTGTTCAAAAGACTCTGCTTGAATCCGACAGGTTGAGGCATTCAATCAGACATGGAGCGATCCCGGTGTTCCCTATTGACATTGGCTTGCCTAATCGTCGCCCTCGTGAAGATCCCGACCATATTGACTGGCTTCCCCCACGCTCATTCCTATAATCCCTACGAACCCTTTCCAAGCCGCCTGTCATTTACAACAAACTCTATTTCTACTACGACATTTCGCACAGATTTGCCCGAACCTACTGTTATCAGCCAGCAAGACCAACACTGGGCGTCCGGTATGGATATTTACCATCCGACCCCAGAGACTACAGAAGAGGGGACATGTTCAAACACGGTACCTCGATGGGCAAGCGTTAGTGAGCTATGCAGCCGAGTTGTGCCAACTCAGTTACTGCTACCGCCCGCAAAATCATCCACCTCACCCAGTTGCAATACGTACAGATTTGCCAACGCCGTTTTCGCGATCTGCAATACGGACACTACACACCACCATCGCTTCACCGCCCAGAGAAGAACTTGTTATCGAATCTATAACGAATGCCGTTATAGGAATAAAGGAGGATACGTGGAGTACACCGGACCGGATGGAATATCATCACTGTACCAAGATGAGGATATTTCCTGGCCTCCCTCCTATGCAGCTGGCATGGGGAAGATGTTGTGACATGTTCCTCTAAGTGAATCATCGGAAGATGGGCACTAGCTTAGCTTAGCTTTACCCACACGAGTCCCATTTGTTAGATGTCTTTGGACCTTCAATTAGATAGTTTAATTGCTAATCTCTTCTGTCCCATGATTCGCACTTTCATTATCTGTATGGTTCAACCATCACGAATACTAGTATCCACTGAGGATGTTCCATTCCGTGTGAGTCCCAAAAAGGGAATAGTGTGGCGGTCACGGCAGACATTCTTGTTCTGGTTCTTCCTCGTCCGCTTTCTTCTCTCTTTCTCTCTCTTTCCTTTCTTTCTTTCTTTCTGTCAGATTCCATTCTCTCTTGCTTAGAAATGCTTACCAAGTATTCCCCCCATGGCTGATAACCCCCATGTCTTCTTCTCTCATAACCATGTGGGACGACCCCGGCATCCCTCCTGCCGTCATCGAAATCCGGGGCATCCCCGGACCCACCAGCGCTGCCCAATCTACTACTAATGGAAAAGATTGACGATGCCCTGCAGTGACCTGGGTGGAAAACATATTATTGCGGGGATGCGGGGGGACGGCATGATGGAATGTTACTCATGCCTCCATAAGCAGTGGGTCTCCATGTTTTCTATCCCCCCTTGTCCCTCTCCACAATTTGCAGGGATAGGAAAACCTGGTCGGATGCACGCGGTGATATCACCACTTCTTAGTGCTTCTCTCACCTCTTAACGATGCCATTGTGCTCTTATGATCAAAAGGTGGGGATAGGGCTACAATGGACAATATCCGCGGATTTTAAAGGGGGTGCCCCGTTCGCTTGGACGACTCGCTCTCACAAACATTGGCCCCGACCACCATCCAGCGAGGTAACCCCGCTCACACCCGCGCTTCCTTCTCCGCATGACTGCCATAGCCATGCCACACCTCGCCGGCAATGCGGCTTTGCAGGTTCCGCTCTTCATCAATGAGTTCGTCACCGAATACCGCGGCGACTTGCTCTAACGACTTGTTTGATGTCTCTGGAACCAAGAAGAATGAAAATACGGCAGCAGCCGCACAGAAAATACCAAAGAAGAGATACGTCCCCCATCCGAGCTTAAGGAGCATCTCCGGCACGACAACCCCGATAATGAAGTTGGCCAACCAAATCATCCCCGTAGCGGCACCAACCCCCTTGGCACGTTTGGAGCTAGGAAACACCTCCGCAGGAAGGACCCATGCCAATGGACCGTACGAGATGCTGTAGGAGAGCACATATAGGTCTGTCACCCGTGTCAGTGGTCACTGCGCAGAAGCATTCGAGGCTGAGAGCTTACAAATCAGGGCCACACAGAACCACCCCACTGCTTGATGTGTAACCCAGTCGCTACTGAATCGGTTCATTAACCCCGCCATTACGAGATGCGGAATTGCCATGGCTATTCCCCCGTAGATGGCCAGTTTACGCCGCCCCACCCGATCCAGATACAGCATAATTGGGACGCCTCCGACGAATTGACAGACATTGACCATGCCTGAGAGAATCAGTGAATTATTGTCACTCTGTCCCAGGGCTTCGAAGAATGTGGGCGCATAATACACGAAAGCGTTGATCCCCGAAAACTATATCGGTCAGGAGCTGAAATCACGGGAAAGGATCACTGCAATCAGTGGATCACATACCTGCTGGAAGAACGGAATGGCCAAGGCAACAACAGTCCTCCTGAGGTATTCTGGCCGAAAGAGATCAACCCACTGTTCAACGCCGACAAGGAGCGGATAACGAGCGTAGTTTGAATACTCTCTTTCGAGGAGCGCCTGCTGGAATCTGACCTCCGACAAGATTCCTTTCCATTCCAGTTGCACCTTCTCGTCTTGCGGCGACCGTTTGCGCAATTTCGCCAAACAGCTGAGAGAGTCCTGATCCCGACCTCTCATCGCCAGCCAGCGGGGCGAGAAGGGAAATAGATGGATGCCTATGCCCACAACAAGGGCCGGAAATATCTGGAGGAGAAACGGGAGCCGGAACGCCCAATCACTGGGGATGGATCTATAACCACATCAGCCTTTCGCTTGGATAAACGTTCGACACTTGTTGTACAAATGTACCTTGTTCCATAAGTGATCCAGTACGATACAATTGCTCCGATGACGATGCTGATTGCCTCCAGAACCAAGAATGATCCACGCCATGCAGGCGGGGAGATCTCGGATATATACAATGGGGCACCCATTGCCAAGGTGCCGACGCCAATCCCCCCGATAAATCGACCGGCCACGATTGTAGCATAATTTTGCGCGGCGGTTTGAATGGTGGCACCTATTACGAAGAATAATGTGGCCACGGTCAATCCCCATTTTCGAGATATCCGATCGGCGACGGCAGGAAAGAACAGGCAACCGATGAAAGCCCCCAGTTCAAGCATCCCAGCCATAAGTCCCACATTGAAGCCATAGTGTGCATGGTCCGGGGACGTTTCGGGGAATTGCTGTCGGAATTGGGGCATGACGAGAATGATCGATATGACACCTTGATCTAGAACATGTCAATCGAGACGCAGAGCGGGTAGGTTATGGGGAAGCCGAGTTATACAAAGGACCTACCGTAGCCAAATGAAAAACCACCGAATGATGCCAAGAAGGCAGCACCGAATGCGTAGGGGTTGTGGATGAGGTCACTGAGCTTTCCGGCGTCATACTTCACTTCAGAGGATAGTAGAGCAAGCGTATTGGTGTCAGCATGTTCATCGTGTACTGTCGAACTCTTGTCGAGTTCTGTGGGGTGTTCCTTCTTGGACATTGGAAATTTTGTGCTATTGAGAAAGCTCCTACTGTCAGTGTTGTAATATATGGCTCGCTGCACGGTAGAAGGATGCCTTCTGAGAATCTATATAAGTAACCAGTCCAGATAGAATTGTGGGTATACTTAATCCTCGTGAGCCGCCTCGATGCCGGCAAGCAATGAGACGCCGCCCCGCACCTGGGGTGTCGATCCGGAGGGGCATCACTCATTGGAGCTCGGTTGAGGTTTGCGGGGAGCAACCGATAGTTTGTCTTGTCTTCATTGGCAATGCTCCCCAATTGACGAGCCGGATGCGACGGACCATCTTGCCTTGTTCGCTGTTCGCCGAATGCAGCAATATTTCCCCATGAGGTAATGTTGCCAAACATCGGATCGGCCAATTAACAACGCGGTTTGCACTGTGATGGAGACCGACTTGGCGTCACTGACAAGTCAAGCATGAGTGGAGTCATGATGGCTGCCATCATTTCTTCCCAACGAGCCTGCCATTTTTGCCGGGCAAATTGGGTCACCAGCTTACGTAGTTTGTATTGGGGGCTCCCTCAGATCGCCTTTGATGAGTTAATTGGGTCCGAGCTTATAGTCATCAGGACTCCTAACCCTCAGTCGCCCGGTCTCGACCTGTGCATACTTCCCCGTACATCGTATATTATTTCGTACGCCAGAGGATATCCGGCAAGGTAATTGTGAATATACTCGCTTTTCGTAAGATGAGTGGTCAGACATCATTGATGAGGCTCACGTATGGAATGACTAGTATCCCTGTGTAAACAAGAACCCAGCCAAATTTCGATAAGAGCAGCCTTACCGCATTTGATCCCCAGACTAAGAAGCAAAGCCCGTCCTTGTCGTTGCCTACCCTGCTGGGTATTCAATCCGTGGTGGCTAGAACAACTGGTCGCTCTGGTACTTGCCCTTGGTAGACCGGTAGTCCATCGCATACTGAAACCCAGTATATCTTGCTGATCTCAAAAGTGAATCGCATCGTACTCATATCTGAGATATTGTCCTGTACCTCTTTCATCCGTTGTGTCAGCAGCAGACTGAGGTAGGCCGTCGGTCAGTGATATTCATGTTCAAGTTACAGATTGCAACTAAATTGACTGATGATGCAGTACTACTACTAGTTAGTATGCATTCACTAGCAGTTACTGGCAGCATTACCCAATAGTATATATGTTCCTGAGGGGGTTTCCTTACAGTCCAGAATTCATGTGACGCACACAGCTCGTGCTTGTGACTTATGACATGACGGTCAAGAAATGAAGACATCTCATCTTGTCGAGGATGTCCAGGGACTTTACAGATGATCGATACTTAGTATGAAATGATACTATGACGACTAAGCCACCCCGTCCCGGCTGCTCGGATGTATTTTTATTCCGCTGAGTCATCAACCATCTCCTGCTCCCCGGCCTCTATTCTTAGTATCCGGTTTGTTTTGCCTTGACTTCATTCATTGATCCATCTGAGACCTAATATAAGACCTGCCCCTCCCCGGAGTGGGGGTTCTCCGCTGAGTCAACATGATCGGCTTTATCGATGTGCGCAGCCCGCAACTCGGCAATGCTTCGTCTACCTATAAAGTTAGCCAGGGCGCCTCAGACGTGTTTGCTGATAATATGGAATAAGACAATTTCTTGAAGCATAGCAGCAGTTTGCATATCAGTACCGGATTGTGATCCTCTCGTCGCTATTCAAAGTGTTGGTGAACCAGAACTGCCTCTATGTCTCTTCCAAAGACCCTCCACTTTCCCGAGAGGCCGCAGTTCTCGGCTTTTATGAAGCCATGTCGGGTTGAGGGCGAGGTGAACAATCTCGAGGTCTATGGAGATATTCCAAATGATATCAACGGCACATTCTTTCGGGTAATGCCCGATCCCCAGATGCCACCCTTCATCGAAGATGATCCAGTTTGTATTCACTTTCCCGATGGCATGCTGTAGCGGATGTGCTGAAAGAACTAGTGGTTCAATGGCGATGGGAATGTTAGCGCCTTTCGCATTAAGAATGGCACCGTATCGTGGCAACAAAAGTTCGTACGTACCGAGAAATTCATGCGCGAAAGAGAAGCAGGGAAAGCCCTTCTTGGTATGCCTGTTCTCAATCTATGTCTACTAGGTTTTGCTAACTGGTACAGGAAAATATCGGAATAAGTTCACGGATGCTGTCCGGTTCAAGATCCGCAGCACAGCAAATACCAACATTGTCTTCTTTAATGGGCAGTTGTTAGCCCTGAAGGAGGACTCCCCACCATATGCGATGGATCCTCTTACCCTAGAGACGAAAGGTCTGTACGACTTTGAGGGACAACTTCCAAGTGTCACTTTCACGGCACATCCCAAGTTTGATCCGAAGACCGGCGAAATGGTCTGTTTCGGCTATGAGGCAAAGGGTGATGGCACACCAGATGTTTGTTACTACCAGGTCAGGCCAGATGGGTCTTTCTCCGACATCTGCTGGTTTGTGGCGCCTGTTTGTGCCATGATACATGACTTTGCGGTGACCGAGAATTGGGTGAGTATCAGATCAATTAGATCTTCAACAAAAGACTAACAACACTAGGTGCTCTTCCCGCTTATTCCCCAACTATGCGACATCGATCGCCTCAAGGCAGGCGGGGAACACTGGCAATGGAGTCCCGAGACCCCTTTGTATATTGGCGTCATCCCTCGACGGGGCCCAAAGTCTGGAGACATTAAGGTAGCTACCATTCCATACAACTCATCATACAGCGCACTGACTTACAACAGTGGCTCCGATGGGACAATTCTTTTCCTGGACATACTCTCAACGCGTACGAAGACCACGATGGGCACGTTATATTCGACCTCGGTATCAGCAAACAGAACGTATTTTTTTGGTGGCCAGACAGCAAGGGGTCAGCACCCGAGCCCAGCACAATCACGTCGCAATTAATGCGATTCGCAATCGACCCGAACACAACAAGTGAAAAACTGCCTGACCCTGAGATCCTACATACCGGCAATAGCGAATTCTATAGAATAGACGATCGCCTCGCCACACGAAAGCATCAACACTGTTTTTTCGATCTCATGGACCCTTCTCTAGGCACTGATTTCAAAACAATAGGGCCTCGTCTCGGGGGCGGGTACCCTCTATATAATGCTCTAGCTCACGTGGACTTACATACTGGGATTTCAGAGATCTACTCCCCTGGTCGGACACATCTGGTGCAAGAGCCCGTTTTCATTCCAAAGGCAGGGTCTTCTATCGAAGGAGACGGATACCTCATGGCTCTGGTCAATAACTACGAGTCTATGGCAAGCGAGCTGCATCTGTTGGATTTGACGGACTTCAGCAAGGCCAGGGCGGTTATTCCTCTGCCGGTTCGGCTTCGGCCCGGCCTGCATGGAAATTGGGTCGATAGTAGTGATATGCAGTCTGTATAAGTTGTGAATTATTGTGATCCACATAGGAGATAGGAGGGTGGAGAATGTGATCTACTTGCTCTACGTCGCCAGATTACACTGCAGTCCGATGCAACTGCTACGTTCATACTATGCGGAATGAATAAATCTCGATTAAGTCACTTATAAGCTTATTTCAACGGAGCTGAGACCTCGCCTAATATATAAGACGAAATGATAGAAGCACGGAATAGCAACAATCTGAGTACTACCGCAGTCAGATATATACGAAGTCCTTGCAGCCAGCTGGTTCACTCTGCAACACTTCTCCGCCAGATATTCATCGGCATCTCGCCCAGAATTAGATTACACCTCATGGCGATATATGTTCCATTCCGGAGAAGGCAGCGCAAATTCACACCGATGCACCACAGACGCCAACACATCCGTCTGCTCCGGATGGGAGCTTGTGGTTGCCAAAGCAGAAGATCAACAAGTCGGCCACCTAAACAAAGACTCTACTGGCCCAGATAAATTCAGTTGCTATGTAATTCAGTCGCTATGTCGCAAAGACCATAGTTATTGCTCGAGCAAACAGGGAACGCAAACGAGCGCTGGTGCAGAAAAGCACTCCAAATTTCTTGGCTTAAAGCACTGAGGCAGGCTGAATGATGAAGGGTGAGGGACGGTGTAGAGTAGACGTGGGGATTGGGCGAAGGGCCCTGAATATTCTGGTATGTATAGAAAGTCTTAATCCCTTGTGTATCAACGATGAACTTGATAGCATTGAGAGATGTATCAGAGTGACCTATCGAGGGGGCTGTAGCTGAAGTTAGCCTTTCAGTTGATCATTACTCAGCCTTATAGCAGCAATGAAGGGTATCAAATGGTAAGTACCCTCAATTTGCTCGTAGAAGCGTAGAATAGTCGCCGCCATCAGAACATCCTCATTATATTCCTCACGCGGGTCTTTGGATTTCTCAAGCAAGTACGAAATGCAAATACTGTGATACAGGATAGCTGCTTCAGTGCTCAGACGTAATGAGACAGCGTTAGCCAGGTTTACTCCTTTCCCTCTTCTGCACGAGGCAAGCCGAGTCAAATGCCCGGCTGATGCTGTGAACCCGGCGTAGCGTAGAACCGGACAAAGCATCGCTCCTTCGTGGACGACTAGGGAAAAATGACGATCGCGGTCCCTGGTTTCGAACTTCTTTCATGTCAACCGGGGAACTGAGGGGGTCCATTGACGGACCTGCCCACCGAACATGGTTTTCTGCAAAGTGTCGAATCAAGCAGAACTCCTCTCAGCTGAGATAGGCAGTGACTGAGTCGGTGTCGGCCAGGCCATTACATGGCCCCAATGGATATCGGCCCCGTTCAAATTCACCAGCTTGATCCGGCAACGCCTTGTCAGGTTCATTCGCTACTCCTAAGTTGCTGGTGTCGGCTACGACTGGCGTAGTGGGCGGCTTGGGATCTTGTTGTCGGGGACTGCTCGCCTCGGGGATGGCGCCATGAACATTATTTCGACATTGTCGTTTCTGGCAAGTACTGGTACCCAAACTACCATGAGCAGGACGTAGCTCTCAGCCCTCGTTCGTGAGTTAATTTGTCGTCGGTGTTGTAGATGCCTCGGTACGCGGATGAACCTGTATCACGCGTGGAGTCATATCGACATACGTCAACCCACCTAGAGGACGAGCAGATGTGCAGGATAGGAATGGCGCATAGAAATTGTCTATAGGGCTCACTAATATTTGCTGCTAGAGTCAACCCATGTCTAATCGGATGAGAAATCGTATGTCTGTTTTGAACGCGTGACGGTCGAAAACGAAGGTCCGAGGTGACACAGTGCACGATGCTCCATTACTTTTGCAAGATTTGCGTAGTGTATAGCCACTGCCTATTGGGCTTAGATGTTAGTTCAGCCATCTTCTCACCTTTAGGAAGCCATAAAGGTTTCCCTCAGCTAATATGGTGATCTTTCACGGGGTTAGCAGGTCAATAAATGCCGTTTCGTATGGATTGAAATGACGTACCTCTGCACCGCGCGCAAGACTGTGACCGAGTTGTCTGCGACTTCGTCATGACCTCAAGCTTGTTAGGATAGCTGTCAATTGGCCGATAAACTGAAAGAAGGCTTGGGGAATGCGGAGAAAGAGGAGACCTTTTGCCAGATCGCGCCAGGTGGTGCGGGGAACCCGCCTGAGATGTAAGGCATGATGAAGGCATTCAGGCACCAGGAAAATATCACGTGTGATACACGATACTATGGGATATGGACTGAGAGCTGCTTTGACGCCAGTCATGATATGTTGACTTTAGATAACATTGAGTGGTCATGGTTTGAGAACATGGAAATGCAGGACCACCATACATGTAGAGTCGGGCCAGTTTGGAAATAATGCTGAGGTATCTTTCATAACAAAGCTGCCCTTGGCTTGCTTTTGCGCACCATAAACCGCTACTTACACCTACCCATGTCAATGTATATCTCACATTTGTCTCTCTCAACAGGCCAAGAGATTTCTGAAGTGAATGAGGTGTGAAAACGAACCCACGATGTTGGCCAGCTGGTGATGAATTCAGCAGATACAGCGACTAACACCAGTTTCCATTACCGGATCTCTTGTTTGCTTCTTGCTTTTCACATCTAGACTCTCTTCTTAACAGTCGGCCTGGTAGCAGTGTGATTCATATCCAAGTCTGACCAGTAACAGAACACTACTCCGAAAATATCTTCTCCTCCCACCAGATACTCCTCTCCTTTGATCTGTCTTTCATCGCTTACAGCTTCAAATCCTTCGCTTTACTCCTCACTTCACCCATCACGAACTACTCCATACCCTTCTTCAATAACTTAAGACTGAGTCCCGGTACCAAGATGATCTGGTCGTCCGAAGCAGACGCCAAGGTAAGCCAGTTACCCTCACATACTATATGCCATAGTCATATACAAAGCTGACTTTTCAAGCTCTTCGTGGGTGTCCTGAATCAGTTACGCGGAAAATTGAAGCTCGACTATCAAGAACTAGCTATGCATATGGGCGGAGGTACTTCCTGCCCTTTCTTATGTAACCCGAAGTATAGATGCTGACAAACATAGATTGCACCTCCTGCGCCGTTGAGCAGCGCATGATACGGCTCAGGAAGCAGGCAGCCAGCGCATCCCCAGCAGCGTCCATTGGCACCGGTGGTGGAACTGCTAGTGCTAATTCTACCCCCACTAAAACCCCAAGGAAGCGTAAGGGAGATGGTCTAGCAACTCCCGCGAAGAAGAAGACCAAGACAGCTGCTGCTGCGTCTGCCAAATCGGAGGTCAAGAAGGATGATGCCACTACCGTCAATGAGGATGGAAAGGCTGAAACCAAGGTCAAGCCTGAGATTAAGAATGAGCCCATGGAATGATAGTGTACTGGGGCTGGGTTGTTATCTACGTCTTCCCATGGATCTCTGGGCGGCAGCGTTTTGTATTGGTCTACATACGGGGACAGGAGAATGCTGGTGAGACAGACCTCGATTGATGAATGGAGATGGCAGCAACTAGGAAGAACAAAGCACTGCATCATACGATTAAATGATTCCATGATAAAGTAACATCCGTCGCCATGTAAAGACATCAAAACCGACCTAGGATAAACAAATTCCCTCTATGGACAGTTAACCCGTAGGTCAAGATGGGATCATAACCCATAGCCATGACACCCTACTTTTAGTCCTTCGCTGCAGACGAGATACGAGCCTCAACACCAGAATCGTCCGATACCTCCTCCTCCTTGACCTTATTCTTTGTTTGGTAATTCTTCTTAGGGGTCGGTGTGGTAGGCCCATCATCTGACACCTCCTCTTCCTTAGCCTTCTTGGTTGTGCGTCTCTTCTTGGGGGTTGGTGTAGCAGAGCTATCATCGGCAGGGCGCTTCCCATTCATACTGAATGAGATACCGGACTTGATCCCCTTGCGAAATTTGGCAAGGTGCTCCTTCAGGGCCTTTGCCGTGGGTTTATCCTCACCGGCTGTTCCAGTTAGCATGACATTTGTTTGTATGAGGGGTCTAGAAATGGTGGACTCACGCCAGCCTTCGGAAATCTTGTCCAAATCTAGAGTCAGGGTCTGGGTTTCAAAAATGGTCCGCCATAGCTAGTGTTTCCTGGGTTAGAGAATGTGATGATTGGGTATCTGTTGAAGGGCACGGTACCAGTTCCTCATTTTCTGGGGTCCAACGCATGGTTGATGGTTGATTAGCTCGGATGTGATGTAGAGAAAGAGCTTGAGGTGAGGAGTGTCAGAGGTTATAGAGCACGAGATAGATTAAGAGTATACGGAGCGGAGAAAGGTATTGAAACAAGGTCTATGAGCTATTATTGTGCGTTCCAGCTGAGATGCACCAAATAGAACAAGCCCTGGTAGAGGTAAGAGGATTGGAGGGCGGTGCGGCAATCAAGTGTTTGTTGTGCAATGAGATATTCCGACGCAGCAGCGAAAGAAGACGGGCCATTAAGATGTTACACTTTAGTATTCACTGGCTAGCAGTCACTGTTTCGTTCCCCGGGCAAGCCAGAAACAGCGGTGCCAAAGTAGACAAGTCAATCAATTCTCTGTGAAAGAGAGACTTAGTAGCCATGGGCAGGCGGGATACAGGAGAGACCAGATACATCAGCTCATAGGGTAGTAAATCCATTCGGAACTCGACATTGCACGGTGCTACGTGAGAATTGACGTAGGGCACTTCACAAACACGTGCAAGATAATGGGAAGGTAAGGGTTGTCGGGTCGTCCGTTGAGCATTATCAGTGTCCCAGACATGCTGCACGGTGGAATAATCAAACCCAATGTTGAGGATATGGCATTCAAGGTCTATGCTACTCATACAAAACATGGCGACTTGATGGGCGAGGCGGAATTTGCAATAGACGTCGGTAGTGTCATGGGTTGTGTAGCAAGCCATCATTCAGTTTGGCTATTTCCTCGGGTGCAAAGTGAGACCTAATTAGGTGAAGGTAAACTAGTAGCCCTAGGCCCAGTTTTGTAAAGAACCGGCTATAATAGCGTGACGTTATTGAGCAGGGGTGAGTTTCAAATCGATCGAGATCTTACTGACTTACAAAAAGATGATTGGCCCGCCGCTGACCGAAAAAGGAAAGGCGCGCTGCAAGTGCCAGGCATGCAGGCATCCATGGTTTCATGCACGCCTCGAAAGGAGCCAAAAAGTATATCCCCTTGTCCTCTCACCACCATCTTCTCAGTAGTATCGTACGGATTTTGATAATTCTTGCTAGATTATTAGCATTGCATATCATTCCCGCATGGTCTGACGAAGCTTCCTATTAGAAAGAATCACTGCAACAAGTTAGTTTCATCCACTGTGGGAATCTCGGGACTACTAGTGCGTGGATAGCCGCAATAACGACCACACTGCTAGTGCCATGAGGTGGAGAGGTAAAATCGGGATGATCCGGCCATTCGAAAAACTCGTAATCTGGTTTGAAATTAGCTCTGGTCCTGATTACCCCGCTAGGCCTATCTGTTTCTAAACTTTGCTTCCTCGCTTTCCCCTCTCGATTACAAGCAGTCCAATATCCACCATGGCCTCTTCCACCGTTGTCCTTGTCCCTGGTGCCTGGCATCAGCCGTCCTGCATGCGCCAGCTGCAGGATGAACTGACAGGCCGGGGGCTAAACGCCATCACTGTTGCTCACCCGTCCATTGGCAACACCTCACACCCGCTGAAGACCTTGGTGGATGACAGGGCGAGTCTGCACGCCGTCATCGAGGAACTCGCTGATAGCGGCCATTACGTGACTGTGGTAGCTCACTCTTATGGAGGTGCAGTTACCTCGGGCGCATCTGAAGGGTTGGGCGTCGCCGAGCGACGTGCGGCTGGCAAGCCAGGTGGGATTGTTATGATCGTATACCTTGCAGCCTTTGTCGTCCCTAAAGGCCAAACTCTTCTCGGTTACTTCGGTGGAGTCGCCCCTTCCTTCTGGGAGATTAAGGTTGGTTCTGTCAAGTAAATTGAGCCATTCTGCGTGAACGATTCTGAATAGTTGGTGGCCCAGGGTGACTTTATCTATGCCAACAATCCGATCATCAGCGATCCGGCCAACCTCTTCTACAATGACCTCCCCAGCGACGTCCAGGATTACTGGATCTCTCAGCTCCTCCCCATAACAGCGGGGTGTTCCCAAGTACCCAACACTTACGAGCCGTGGAAGTATATTCCATGCACGTATATAAAAGCCAAGCAGGACCAAGCTCTGTCACTGGAGATGCAGGAGAGCATGATCGCCACAATGGAATCCGTTACGACGCGGACCCTGGACTCCTCTCATTCGCCTTTTCTGAGCATGCCCCGTGATGTTGCCGTGCTGGTCCAACAATCGGTTGAGGAGGGACTGGTAAAAGCCGCTGGTGTTGATATTCCTACGGCATGATTTGTGTGTGGAAATCTGTCTCGAATCACACTTTTTATGCACACTTCGAAACAGTATCATCAGCTTGAACCATGTTAGGTATTATATCAGCAACAATCATCCATGTATTGGGATACAACGCGCTCCTGGAGATGCCTGGTAGCACTTCAGAGCACAAGAGCACCTGTGATCATAGTAATGAATCGGGCTAAGGTCATGAGATCAGCCATCTCACAATCAGCTTAGAGAAGTACCCTGAAAACCATGTCAAGCACGAGGAAGTAGCGCGACCTGCTGACGGCCGTTATGCCGGCCAGTCAGTAACCAGAATATCCATGGCTAGTGATAGCTTTACAATGCCTTCTTCTTGTCGGCTTTTGTTGGAAAAGTTCACCGCATCCGCGCGGTGTCGCATGGCAGCGATACTCATTGTATACTGTTTTGGCCCACTTAGCAAAAACATTAACCTAGAAAAGGTGCAATTGGCTAGACCTCGCTAGGACTAAATAGTAACAAGGCCTCCGGAGGCGGTGAGATGAGCATCTGGATCTGCCTCCCCGGCGCTGCCTCAATTCTCTCCACTCCTTCACTTTCTGCCTCCAGCCTCAACTTATCATTCGTTAATCTAACCATCCAATGACTGCAGACCCTTCGCAGTGCACCAGTGGGGGTTCTCTTTTACTATGCCATCCTAAAGGGAAGAAGACCCTCGTTGCTTGTGACCAGTGCCATCGCCATAAGCTCAAATGCTCGCCTCGATCCCAAGGATGCGCCCGCTGTCATCGTACGCCTCCACTTCCCGCTGCCTCACCCGGCCATTTCTGATCAACCCCAGGATTAGGGATACAGTGCACTTCCAGTCGCCCGATTAAGAGACGCGAAAGGCGACCTACTAGACAGACGCCCCCACTCATACCTCCTCAACTATCGGAACATCCATTGTCGGTGCGGCCCATGACACCCTCCCCGGCTTATGCGCAGATGTGCTGAACCCGACTGCAGGATGCACCTGATTATCCTGTATTGGACTGTCTTTGCGATCTGCAGATTTTGACGTCGGAACAAGCCACGCCCAGGTATTCCCCCAACCTCCATCATGTCTTGGAGCCTATCACGCTCACCACAGACAATAGCGCTTTCCCGCTTCAACTTTCACGTTTCGAGGCCTGTCGTCTGTTGGAGCACTTCTATGCTTCACCCAACCAAGAATTCCATGTCTTACTCATCCGAAAAGGTAGACTCCTAGATCAGTGTGCCCCAAGGCCCATACTGCCAACCCTGCTACTTTCAATCCTATGTACGCTTACGGACTTCTCCCGAGCAATGACCCTTCAGCCATCTTACACGCTACAGGTGTCGCTTGTTTCATGCCGCCGGCGGAGCAGTCACTTTATGTATCGGAACGAACAGTTAATGAGCGGATGGCTCAAGGACGCTATCTCCTTGACAAGCTAATACAGCAGTTTCACCCCAGGACATTACCCGATACCAACCATGTGCTCGATGATGCCTTAACGGCATTTATCATGACAAGTATCGCCCCGAGCGAAAGATCGGTCGAGTCGAGTTTGCAATACTGGCTTATATTTCTCAGGTTTGTTGTTCAAAAGTTGGAGCTACACAAAGATGTACCCGATCTTAGTCAGGATGACAAAGAGGAAAGGAGGAGGTTTGTCCTTGATGCCAGAATATACATTAGCCACAAGGTCGTTGATAGTGAGATCATGACAGGTTATGGTGGGCAACCTATATCATAGATCGACATGCGGCTTTGTCATTCAACGGACGACCGCGAATCACCGACAATGAATGTCTGTTTCTCCCGACTCCACGCCCTGATGCATTATGGAATCAGCCTGGCCCATTACTTCCCCATGGTCAACAGCCAGGCGCGCATGAAACAGTACTCAGCTATCATGTTGGGAATCTGGATATGCTAGGGCTTTTCCTGCCTCTTTCAAGGTAGGATTCCCTGTGGTTCGCCAAATTCAAGCCGTCGTATCTGAATCTAGTGCAGGATTCTGGGCGAAATCTTGGAATATCGCTTTCTTAGCGACCATTCAACATTTAACACATGCCATGATCTTTTGAACACGGTGCAAACGAATATTTTGCAGCACCTCAAGATGTGGTATCAATCTTTTGAGGCTCTTGTAGGCTCGGAGTTCAGCTTGATTGCTGAGCCAGATTGCCATTCATGTCCGGTAGCAGAAGTCCCACCAGTGGCTTACTATGGATTTCACATGTACCACTGCATGTTTGTATTACTACATGGTCCAATGGACGTGGTGCGGATGTATCAAGACCTTACATGGCAGTCTTCTCCCGACTTTCTGACAGCCGGCGAGCATGCTGTAGCTTGTGCAAATGTGAGTCACCACAAATTGCGTTGGCATATTCTGAAGAAGAACCCAAAGTTCTATCTTTCTGTAGACACCTTTGCTCACATGAATTCGATGAAGGTTTCCCGACACATATTGCGGATCGATCCACAACTGTCTCTGATGTATAGATTTTTCGGAACCTACTTTTTACAGTCTTCATTCATCTTTCTCATTCTGGCACAAAAGCTGGGGAAGCAATCAGATGACCTAATCTTACGCAATTGTTCTATTAATCTACAGGTTTTGGACATGTTTGTAGCTGCGACAAACATGGACTACCAACGCACGTTTGCGAAGCTCTTGCGCCGGACGCTGTCATTCAATATGGCTGAATCTTCCGGGCATATTGCTCCCGACCATAGTCAATCGACGCCAGAGCTTACTGGTGTCCCGCAATCATCTTTGGATCCAGAAATGCTTCGTTACCGCTGGGCCCCAGGCTATACTGGGTTATGGGTTGGCCCAATGAGCTGAAACTAGATCAAACATACCGTCCGTTCACAACTGTATCAAAGCCTGCACTGCTAGGCCTTCCCGAAGAGTTACAAGGGGGTCTAACAATTGTCATTATGCTACTAGAGCTTTATATAATATGGCTCGGACCAGTTATGGCTTGTATGGCCTGCTGGGCGGAACGCCAATGTCTGCCCAGGACCTGGAATCTGTGCAATCTATCCGTCCAAGTCTGATCAGAGTCCATGTGGACTGTTGATGTGGTTCGGTCACTGCCATAGACAGTTGCGTTACCGATCTCGATATCGGGAGATGGGGCCGTGATGAATCGGATCCAATCTTCTTGAACGCGGTCGACTAAGGCGGCGTTAGTTGGTGCTTCGGCTGGCAGGGCCTCATCTGCAATATGTATTGCGTCTGCGAAGCAATTAAAGATATATATCAAGTCGACACAGTGTTGGGCAATTCCTTGCCTGGGCCCGGGGAATGGGTTGCCCACACTCATGCGATACGAGTGCACCGCAGTAGGACGGGGAACGGTGGGGCTTTCTGTAAGCTTTTCCCTGGGCACCTCCCAATCCCTTAGTTCTTGTCTTGCACATTGCACAGGATACCCGAACTGTATATCCGTCAACAGCTGAAGCACCCGTTTTCTAAGCTCCGCCGTGGAAATGTCTGGCTGAAAGCCGTAGGCCTGGTATAGTTCTTTCAAGAACTCCTTCGACTCCACCCCTGCATGTAGTTTTTCGCTCAGGTGCTCATAATTTCTGATTCCATTTACCTCGTTCATGTGTAAAAGACCCTGTTCTTTGTCAGCATATGATGTTGGCCCCGTACAATGGGCTGACTAACCTCGACATCGGTATCACCGATTAGAACCGGAATTACCTCGGTACGAGAGGCCGGTATTTCCGTAACAGATTCACTCTCAGGGCCATCCAGGTGAACTGTCCAGCGACCATTTGGCCTTTCTGAGATTGTAAGACCGTCTTCCACTAAGGGACAGACAATGGAACCCAACTTTCCAGCCGCTTGCAGGATCTCCGCGGGCGGAAGGTTTGCCATGAAAGCCATTCGCGAAATAGCATCGCCCGCGGGAGCTCCTGCATGCTGACAGAAAGCACTCCAGCGCACGTTGGAGACGTCCATCGAAATGGGACCGAGCACACCAACAGTTCCCGATTGAATGATTCCTCGCTGAACCAAGGGCTCGCCTCTGCCAAGAATAGCCTCCAGGACGTGGGCATGCGACGAGCTTCCACCCGCTGATTGACCTCCGACGGTGACCTGGGTGGCATCACCGCCGAAAGCACCAATGTTCTGACGCACCCAGCGAATAGCAGTTCGCTGATCGCTCAGTCCGAAATTGCAACCTTTCCTCTGACCTTCCGGTTGGGCTTGAACGATCTCGGATGAAGCCGCGAAACCAAACATGTTGAGGCGGTAGTTGATGGTGGCCACAATTATGGGAGTGCCTAGCTCAACTGATTTCTTAACAAGGCGAGCCGGATCTATTAGGCAGTCAGTGGTACTGTAGCTGACTACACCTGATCCTGAAGCTAGAAACTTACCCCACATCGGGTCTGTTCCTGCACCGAAGCTATACGCTCCTCCATGGATATACACGTATACTGGCAATTTCACTCCCTGCGCATCGAAACCGGCTGCAGCAAGGATCGCAGCACTGGGTCTTGTTATGAACAGATTGAGACAGTCGAACTCCGACTCCGTTACGTCGGCCGGGAACTCGAGATGAGATTGAAACTCGTCGGTGTTGTTAGGTTCCTGCGGCTGAGGGCAACGAGGACTGACGCACAGGTATTAAAGTTAGCGGGCTATAGTCCTGCACACTCCAAAGCAACATGTCGACCTACCCGTTTCGTGTTGCATCAAATTCATCCCGGGGTAAGCGATCACGGAGCAATGCATGCTGCCATCTCGCCGGCACAGTCCCATACGGGATCCCTCGAAAGTCCTCAATTCCTGAGATGGGTGATTTTCGACCGATCACCCGCTGAGGATATGAGGGCGAGGTTTGCGTTGGGACAATGACGACTACTGGGTCGCTGGACGAGGCGGGAGCCTGGTCAGGATCCTCGGGCACCCGAAGCTGACGCACTGCAGCAGTCATAGTGTCCGTGTGAAGCAAGGAATAGAAATAAGCAGGTGTTTGCGATCCCGAGA